TTTTTTTTTTTCTTTTTTTTTTCAACATTTATTCAACATTTATATATGAAAATGTTGCCATGTTATTACTCCCATTATAACACTTCTTTTTTTTCCATTATGGTTTTCCCTAAGAACAAATTAATATGCAAATAAGATGAAAAGGAGATACCAATTTTGCACATATTGCATAAAGTAAAATAGTATATCAAATCATTCTGTTATATAGCGGCTTCCAAATCTTCTATACTTATTTTGCTGGATCTGTCTGCTGCTTTTGATACGGTGAATCAACATAGTTGAGAATCATCTGTGTACAAAGTTTGGTAGCCTGAAACCTAAAAACAATTGGTGAATGAAAAAAATAAAACATTGTTTTTGCCTATACATGCCTTTTTCATGTCTGTTTTTTTTGTTTTGTTTTTTGAATGACTTATGGCATCCTCTACAAAGGACATATAATAAAATATGAATAAAAATATATTTAAAAAAAAGTTTTTCTCCATTTGTTTCTTATGCTCCAACCAATGTAATGACATAAAAAACAACAAAATTCATTTTTTTTTAATGGTTCTTAGTAGGATATAGCAAATTGTAAATTGTATGCATTGGATTTAGATGCAATGTTTTTGTAAACAGAATGCAGCTAATTGTTTTACCTTGACAGGGAAAATAGCTTTGCTGATTGCTATATTATGCTTCTCGAATTTTGGAACCTTGGAATCACCTGTATCTTGGTGATTCTGTAAAATGTGTGTATCCAATTGAAAATACTGTGTCATGGCACAGTTTGACTTATTTTATTATTAATAAATAATAATTTATACAGTTTATTATTATTAAAAAATAAAAGTGTCAGGGGGTTTAGAAGACAGGTAGAGCTGGGTGTCATCGGCATAGCAGTGAAAGTGAATACCATATTTCCTGAAAATGTGACCAAGCGGGAGTAAGTAGATAATGAATAGAAGCGGGCCCAAAACAGAACCCTGAGGAACACCAGTAGTAACTGTAGATGATCTCGATCGTAAGTGGTTAAGTTGGATGAACTGAGTGCAACCAGAGAGATGTGACATAAACCAAATTATTCTTTAAATGAAAGTGATAACTCACACTGCCTTTCTGTTTTGCAGCTGCTCAGTGAGAAGACATGCAGAATTCTCTCCTTCTCGTCATGTTTGGTGCCAGAATATGAATACTGATGTTACCATTGCCTCCTGCCAGCTTCTCTTCATAAGAAAATATCCGATTTTTATCTATTATCCAAAGTTATTCAAACTCATTGTCAAGTTAACTTTTCTGTAGCCAAGAGGCAGATAGAATGATGGGAACATGATGGGAACTTTCTGCTTCTTAATATTATCTATTGAAGACCCTGAAGGGAAACAAACGTCTTATCTTGAGTTGTAGAGGCAATACAGACAGTTATTTTTTTTCATCAGTTACAGTTCAGGCTTGCACAGATTAATGAAGTTTAAATGTTATTCTATGCACAACAAGGTTATACAACATTAGAAAACATGACAGTGAACATGAATCAATATAAATTAAATCTGTAATATACGAATATATGAAATGTGTATATGTAGGATAAGTAAATACAAATAAGGGAAACATGCATCATAACTGTTTATTATAATAGGAATATTTGTGAGGTTGCAGAAGCTAATTCAACAATCCTTGCTTGTTAACAGTATTGGTGTAAACTGACCAAATTTTCCCGTTTGCCCTTTTATCAGTTACGGCCTCCTAATCATATGAACAGGTTGAATACGTCGCTGTGATCTGGGACACTTTGACTGCCACTGCATCGTTTGGATGGATGCTGCAGACAGGTGCTGGAAGAGCAGGGGAAAGGTTTCTCTCCAGTGTGAATTCTCATGTCAGTTTGAAGGGTTTTTTGTCATGTGAAACTCTTTCCACACTGAGAGCAGTCTCCAGTGTGAATTCTCATGTGCATCTCAAGGGTTTGTTTCATTGTGAAACTCTTTCCACACTGTTGGCAGGTGAACGGTTTCTCTCCAGTGTGAATTCTCATGTGCATCTCAAGGGTTTGTTTCATTGTGAAACTCTTTCCACACTGTTGGCAGGTGAACGGTTTCTCTCCAGTGTGAATTCTCATGTGCATCTCAAGGGTTTGTTTCATTGTGAAACTCTTTCCACACTGTTGGCAGGTGAACGGTTTCTCTCCAGTGTGAATTCTCATGTGCTTATTCAAACTCATTGTCAAGTTAACTTTTCTGTAGCCAAGAGGCAGATAGAATGATGGGAACATGATGGGAACTTTCTGCTTCTTAATATTATCTATTGAAGACCCTGAAGGGAAACAAACGTCTTATCTTGAGTTGTAGAGGCAATACAGACAGTTATTTTTTTTCATCAGTTACAGTTCAGGCTTGCACAGATTAATGAAGTTTAAATGTTATTCTATGCACAACAAGGTTATACAACATTAGAAAACATGACAGTGAACATGAATCAATATAAATTAAATCTGTAATATACGAATATATGAAATGTGTATATGTAGGATAAGTAAATACAAATAAGGGAAACATGCATCATAACTGTTTATTATAATAGGAATATTTGTGAGGTTGCAGAAGCTAATTCAACAATCCTTGCTTGAGTATTGGTGTAAACTGACCAAATTTTCCCGTTTGCCCTTTTATCAGTTACGGCCTCCTAATCATATGAACAGGTTGAATACGTCGCTGTGATCTGGGACACTTTGACTGCCACTGCATCGTTTGGATGGATGCTGCAGACAGGTGCTGGAAGAGCAGGGGAAAGGTTTCTCTCCAGTGTGAATTCTCATGTCAGTTTGAAGGGTTTTTTGTCATGTGAAACTCTTTCCACACTGAGAGCAGTCTCCAGTGTGAATTCTCATGTGCATCTCAAGGGTTTGTTTCATTGTGAAACTCTTTCCACACTGTTGGCAGGTGAACGGTTTCTCTCCAGTGTGAATTCTCATGTGCATCTCAAGGGTTTGTTTCATTGTGAAACTCTTTCCACACTGTTGGCAGGTGAACGGTTTCTCTCCAGTGTGAATTCTCATGTGCCTCTCAAGAGTTTGCTTCATTGTGAAACTCTTTCCACACTGAGAGTAGGTGAACAGTTTCTTTCCAATGTGAGTTCTCATGTGACATTTAAGATGTCCTTTTTGTGTGAAACTCTTATTCACCATACTGTAGGTTCTCACAGAGCCGTTGAGCCATTCTCTGCAGGATTGTGGCATCTTTCGAATATTCAGTGATTACTATGGTGAATGACGTCAAGTTGACCGTTACAATATGGCGGATGGCTTTTGTATAGGGGCCCATAGAAACAGTCGCTAATGAGGCATCTACGTATATATATCTATGCATGGCCAATGCTCCCTAGTTTTTGTGGTGCATTGTGGGATTTTTCAGGGAGCGAGCGTTCCAGTGCACTGGAAGGATTTCGTGATTGAGATGGCCCTTAAAATGGCTGACTCCCTGATCAGTGCCCTGACTACTGAACAA